TATTGTAAACTATTGCGACATTTACAAGCACTTGTGCAAAATGAGGCGCTTTCGAAATATTCTCGATTCTTTCAACGTTTCGTATGATCTTTACTTTCATGTCCAAATCTGACGATTGAATGTAAATATTAATAAATACGATATCAAGAAATACCAACTTATGATGTATGATTAAATAATCATGTTGTTTTTTTTCTACCTACGTCAAAATGTATCATTGCGTCTTGATACGTCTTAAGAAATGACTGACGAGCGAAAAAGAAACACGTTGTCACACGATACTATCTTTTGTTTGTTTAAAGCTAAGAAAGAGATATATGTATTCAATGTCAATCTGTTTAATTCAACAACTCAATATACACAGGCAAACAGTTCCAAACATTTGCATTTACTCGCAAGTTGCACGCCAGACAACACGTATGTATACAATTAGAATTAAAGAAAGACCTCTTTGTAAAAGACGCTTTTAAGATATTTTATGTCCCGATTTTGGATTTTGTGTTGTCTAAGATTGCTTCGACTTGTATATGTACATATATCGCATTAATCAGATTATTCACATTTTTTTTTCATGAACAATAAACAGGTGATTATAATATAAACACGCGTGATCAGCAAAGCACACATTACGTATACCAATAAAAAAAATAAGATGCATACATAATGAGAACGTCGCATATCTTGTATCATTATTTGCAGATACGTATGTTTATCTAATTTTATACCGTTAATCGCAATAGCTCACAATAATCGAACATGCAGCTTCCGAAGAAATAGATGCACATAAATTTTTTTGCCATGACAACGATTAATTAACTATCATTATTTGAAATCTACATTGCACAATTGAATGTACCAACATATTAGTAATATCGGAAATATATTTCATTCGATGAAAACAGTTTGCCATGAATTGCAAAGACAAAAGCAACTGAGTCTTCGCAGCGTGCAAAGGAAAAAAAAAAGGAGAAGTACAATATTACGACGATATCGTTACGAACGACATCCGGATGATTATCAGTACGTAACACACATGTAAAGTGAAGAATTGAAGAATATGCGACTAATTGCGCGTTCAAAGTCAGATATAACAACGGTGTTCGAAAAAATAGTGTGTAATCCGTAATAGTGTTTTTCATTGGCAGAACTAGTGCGCACTTAGTGCATTTTAAGACTGTTGTACTCAAATCGAAATAATGAGGTATGTTTAATAAAAATAATAGAAACGGATTAAACCGCGAAATATTCAATATATTTTATTGTGCCATTTGATAAAATACACATTGGACATTTTATCAATTAAATTCTCACTTTTTACATTTAGATTAGAATAGTGTACAAGTTGATGCGCACTAGTTTTATCAATGAAAAACGCTATAAGTGAAAAAAATCTTTAAATAACACGCGTTTCTCTTCCGCGAATGAGATTAAATGAGGCTGACGATATCGCATTGACGCTCAATCGATCAATCACATAATCGAATTTGAAGTAATGTATTATTTTAAAACAATCTAGAATAATTTCATTGATAATTGTATACCAATGTCACCAATACTTCTGTATATGTTTATAAAACCATAATATTATAAGCTTTAATTATATTGGAGATTATAAGATTTAATTATATTGAACGTTGAACTCAGAGAAAAAAAATTTTGGCATCTGTAATTACTATAATTACTTGTTACTACAATTATGATTATTACTGTTGTAATATTAATAATAATAATTTTATATTATATTGTTGTCTCAAAGAATATTTAACTAAGTAATTATAATTATTTTATGGCAATAATAACTATACCCAAATAACATGCATGTTGCATAAGATATCTAAAAGACGTCTTTTAGATATCTTATGCAACATAAATGTTATCTGGATTTATAGTCATTTTCAGTTGTCAACAATATATATTGTTAATACATATTGAATGAGAAATATACATATAGTTATTATTGCTAACACTATAGCAATAATAATCGTATTATGTAACATACAATTATAGTTACAATTCTCCTCTCAGTGCAAATTAATCAATAATATACCGACATTAGTATTATTACCGACTAATTAATAAATTAATTAAATTCGTTATCATATAAAATCGAGATTATTTACACCGTTTTAAAAATTTCTGCTTTAAAGCAACGGTAAAGATATTATTACGAATACGAAGAAAACAGATCTATTATTACGGACTCAATGAAAACAGTTCTACGTGCTAGAATCATGAGAAATCTAATGTATATTGATCCTGCTACAATCTTACTATTGAACATTTCGATTTCCCTGTAATGCATCGGAAAATACTTTAATAACAGACTACAATTTTTTAAACATAAAAAATGTGCATTATTTATACATAAATTAGAAAATTTAGTTAATCTTAATTTTTCTCTACTCTCATTTTTATAATTGCGCAGTAATTAGATTTATAAAAACTTATACGATTTAATACGTTATTTTACGTAATAAAAGATAAAAAAAATAATTGAGTATTTTTACGTAAACAAAATGGATTCATTGATTAAAAAAAATAACAAACTTAATAATTCTATCAAATTTTAATAATTTCTATCAATACGCAAATATTGTGAGAAACGCATTACATGTTTAAAAGTAGAATTCTCCAGAAATAGAAACGACTGTTGTTTATTACGTAGAATAAATTGGAGAATTCGATAACAAAGGAGAAGAATTAATAATCATTTAAAACTTAATAATCATTTCATTCGTCTCTTTTATTATCGATTTCTTTAATATTCACACTCTACAATAAACAAATAATTCTAATTTAGGAAAATTTTACTTTTACATAAAATGAGTAATTTCGCAATATCGCGTATTGATAGAAATAAATATAAATTGAAATAAAAAGTAAATAATTGTAAATAATTATTTTTAAAAAATAAATATTTCATATAATCACTATACAGAAATAGAAAATGTTTTATTTGAATGTTGTGAACATGAAATAAACATTCACTATTTATATCGTAAATATTTATATCTCACACATACAGATACTATTATATTATACATATCATTATATTTGGAACTTAAAATTTTAACACTTGTTTTAACAAATCATTCGCAGCGAATATGAGAGAAATAAAGCTAACATTCTAGTCACTTATCCCGCAAGTTTCTCGGCGATAATAAAAAGAACATTGATTAGCTCAAATCAATTGGAGAATACCGGGAACGAGAATAATAATGACATAATGAAAAGCGAAATAAGATATAGGTAGTCAAAGTGGCAACAGCACAGAATAAACGGAGGAGGGAAAGAAACGTATGTACATATACACGACAGGCGCGTATTCGCGAAGCGGATGAAGAAGAAAGGATCTCTGCCGGAGAAGGATCAGTTAAGGCAAACCTACCGACCTGACAATGATCGTGGAACGGTTTGTGAAAGCAGTGGCCGTCAGCGTTGCGCAGGTGTTCGTGCACCACGTGTACGTGGGTCGGCAAGTGCGAAGAGGGGAGCACTGCTCCGCTGCTCTCCGCGCCAAACAATGAATTTCGTCCGGTGCTGGTCGACCATACGGACATCAGGCTTGATCCTTGCGCTGCTCTGTCCGGAGCTGCAATGAAATCAGAATGAACAGAAAGGTTTCTCGATCACGCGATCGCACAGAACGGTGGTGCCACCGTACAAAAAATGGAATACCGAGGATAAATAAAAATGAAAGTAGGATATAAAAAAAAAATCTACATTTATTCAGATTATATCAAGGATATATTCGACTCGAGATATGACATTTCCATTTGAGATGTCTATTTCTTCCTGACGGATGTAGTAATATGATTGTTTCGTTCCTCAAGTATAGTGGCTAATAAAAAAGTATCGTTTGAATCTTGTTAAACTTCAAGAGAGACAGGAGATTTGTATGCTTTGGCAAAAATGAATTTATTTCAGGGAAAGGAATAAATATGTAAACATAATTTTCGGTTTAAATCTTATTTATTCCTATATTCATAATTTAAAAAATTAATTTGTAATATAAAATTTGTTAAAAATATTTTGTTTTACAGATTTAACTTAAAAAAGACGTTTGAAAAATGTTATTACATAAAATAGTAGCAACATAAATAACAATGTTTACGTGAAAATTAAAGTTTTACGTTCATGCAGTTGTTGCTATTTTGTAACAACACTTTTTAAAGATCTATTTTAGGTTCCATTTGTAGAGCAAAGTGTCTTGAGGAAAATAACTAGGTGACTAACAGATTACTTCCTCGAGTCATGTAATCGTGGTAAAACGCAATGCCTCAAAATTTTTAGGTCTGTCTTCTCAATGATAGAAAGCTTCTATATTTTTAATAAATTAATTTGAATTGCAAATTAATTTTCTACATCTCATGTAGTAGATAGTATACCTAAACGTAGAACTGTCCATTAATTGTTTTCCTTAAAACAAATTCACAAATTTCGCCTTTAATTTGATCTCCTGTCCTTTCTTAAATGTTGGAAGTTACGCATATTGTATTAAATATTTCCTTATTGAATACAAATATATACACATACAAGGAGTCTCGAATCAAAATGCCATAGCCAGAAAATTTTCGAAAAAAAAAAGGTACTTCCCATTTTTTGTTTTGAGCAATAGTTTTAAAATTGACCAATTAGAGATTATGGATAAATGGTTGTCTGTCCATGAGTCGCACATCGATAGCGTTAATAGTGGATGCTTTCCAGTCACTCAAGTCGACATAAACATCATTCTATCTTTTTCGGAGAGTAACAAAGATAGGCCAACACTTATGTCGACTTGTGTCGGTTTGTGTCATCAAATGGAAACCACCCATTGGTGCGTGGCGACTCACAGGTAAACAGTCATTTAACCGTAATGAGCAAATTTTTATATCTCAAAAACTACTTGAAACAAAAAAATGACAAATATTTAAACTTATTTTTTTCGAGAACCTTCTTATTGTGGTATTTTGATTTACGAAAATCGAAACATCCTGTATATTATATGTATATATATATATTGGATTTTATGTATCTGTTTTATTTGCATCGTTTTAATTTTAGATGACAGAAGTAACGCTCTCTGGTAGAGGAACTCGATAATTCCTCTCCCTCTTCCCCTTTCTCTCTCTTTATTTAAGATCACATTAATCTTCATTATTTTCTCTAATGTCTAAGCGGCAATTCTTAACGACGTAAACAGTATGACAGTAAACAGATGCTGAAAGAAGTAAAATATAAAAGTATCGTTCAGTTCAACGCTGTTAATACGCAAGTATCGGTGTCCTCCGCTTTCGATTTCATGGAATATCAATTTGACACGGTACTATAATAAAATCAAAATGCATGAGATGCCGAAGTATTCTACACTTTATAACGTGCCAAGGAATGTAATTAGAATCAGATATATCTATATATGTGTATATATCCTTGATTCACTTGCTATTTTGCGATCGTTAATTTTGTCCGCTATGTCAGACTTCGAGTTCGACACTCAAGCCGACTATTTATCTTTTTAGATAAAGATTTTCTTACATTCACTAATCGTACATTCACTAATTTAAAAGATCGTACTTAAAGAAAAAAACATAATGGTAGCAATTATAAAGGTGACATAACTATACAAGTTTTATATCTAGAACAAATATATTTTCTAAATTTTTTGAAATGAAGCCTTACTTTAAAGAATGATAATTGACCCAGTTTTAAAAAAGAGTGACTCAATTTTCAATATTTAAGAGTGAGATTTCAGTGTTCAGAGTGATTCACTCTAAAAGTTTTTAGAGAGTACGTGTAGTTTAATAAATTATTTTGTAATTATAGCAACTATAAAATATTCAATTATATATATATATTAATTTGTTCAACTATGAACATTGTATAATATTGTCATCTTTAGCTATATTTTTTTTCTAAGTGCGCACGAACAAAGTTTCAATCACAGTGCTTGTCGTACAAGAATTATTTTTTAATTTATCTGTGGAGATATGAAAGAAAAACGAACGCAATGGAGATTTATCAATGGTGCAGTGTATTACGAAGTAAAATAATAGGATGCGAAACGCGATGTACCATTTAATTTGTTTTAATGAACGTGTCAATTGAACAAATCACGTGACTTGTACGAGTGGTTGGCCGATCATACCGATTACAGCAATACCGGAGCGATCGAAAATCCGCGACGTAATAGAGGCCGGTGAACGTCTCGGTGAATTAATGCGCTCGTCGCCACGTACGCGTTCTTGTAACACGAGCGCAAGGTCGAAAAATGTGATGCACGTTCGCCGGAAAGCGGTCTGGGTCAAACCAGTGCAGTGAGCTGGTTTGAAAAGGATCGCCGATCTGAAAGTGTGATTAGTTGGCAGAAGATAATCAGACCGTACCGAGAGATGCGGTCTTGGCAAAATAATACAATGTCTCTTTTAACTTACGAATTATAATTTCGAATCTAAAAAGAAGAAACATGAACAAACGTTTACGTCACATTTTAATTTTTACACGCATTCTTTTTTCTTCTCTAACACATCGTCTTATATCTTATCTTTTTCCCATGTTACATTTATTTCGAATTAAAAAAAATAATAATAATTAAGCTGCTCTATGTCTTCAAAGCAAAGGATAAATTATAGTGATGCGAATAAAGCAGAATTGCAATTTCAACTTATATGAAATTGATAAATTTGAAGTATCTCTTCCTTTTTTTGTTCTTACATATCGATTGTTTATTAAAAATTTCACGATAATTGATAATTAACGAAAATTTGTATTAATAAATGATACGAAGAAATAAGGCACTCTATTTATTAATTTTATCATAGAGCTATGCTTCTCACATAATTTCATACACTTATGCTTCTCTTTTTATATTTTTTAAGATATAAGCACTTGCACGATTATTTTGTTTAAAATGTATATAACAATATAGAGATAATAATAGAGATAGATAGTGAAAAACACAAAATAGATTTGATAGTCGCCGTTAGTCGATTACATCAAATCTATTTTGTATATTCTTCTACCGATATCCGTCTTTTACGATAATCATAGCTATGTAGTATTATAATTTACAAACACGTTTTTATCGCCCAGGGGGATTACAATTTTAAATGCTGATTCATTTAAAATGGTTTGTATATTCGCATCTCTCGCCGACGAAGATAATCGCCCTTAGTATTTGCAATCATTTCTACTCTGTCGTCATTGAACGCAGTGGCGTAATCGCCATAATCGACACCTTAATATATTCATTCAATTATTGAATAATTAAAAATTATTGGAGAATTAAATTACATAAGCAACAAACACAAAAATTATATAATTTGCAATAAACATACATATTATATATTTAAAAAGGATACTTAAAAATTTATTTGTGAAAAATGTTTCATTGAAATAAATCTTTATTTAAATACAGTTGAAATAAAATTTTATTCCCAACAAATAAATTGTTCATTTCAGTTTTTATAATTAATGAGATACATCTCATAGAAATATATATTTTGCTATAAAATTTTTTTATAATCAATTAATATCGAAACACGTCGCATGTAACACATTTAATTATGAATATTTTAACTTTTTTTTCTCAGTGTTTTATTATTTTTAATAAAAATTTACACTAATTATATAAATTGTATTTGTGTTATTAATTTACATTTATATATATAAATTAGATTCTTCTAATATTTTTTTACAGTATAAAGATATTTGGAAACTATTCAAGGAATTTCTTTTACATTTTCTTTTAAACATCCTATTATTTTACTTTGTAATTCTCATTAGTAAGAAGATTTTACAATAAGATACTGAAAAAAATGTTGTGATTAAACCGACAAGAATAATTTGGTGAGAACTTCTGTTCAGTCTCAAAATGCCATTCTTATTGGACCTCTTTTTTATTTAAGACATTTAGGTGATCAGAATATTTTTCTCATCTAAGTATATATTAAGTGCGAGCGTAGTGGCAACGCACGTGACTGCTATGCCCGGGTTTGATCCCAGACAGAATCGAAAAATTTTTCGAACATAGCTCCTCTCGGCAATAGCAAACCACCGGGAGTATCTTTGCCAAGAGAACTTCTCTAACAAAAATCGTCGTTCGAAATCGACGTTATTAAACAGTTCTTAAGACATAGTTCATATGCTGTGTGTTGAAGCTTACTTACACATTACTATCACTGGGCACGTTAAAAGAATACATCGCAACGCAGCTTCGCTGATGTACCAAATAATGGATTACCTCCCGATGATATTATCAATATAATAAAAATGTGTTGTCTAAATTCTTTGGAGTGGAGTACGTCTTACTCTAAAAACTGAAAATTGGACCAAACTTAGAAAAAAAAATGGTTTAACTTTTTTTAAGAATAAAATTTCATTTTCCAAGAACGATATTCATTCTTATGCCCATTTCAACTACATTGATGGAAACGGGCATGAAAGTGTTAAAGAGTGAGCAATTAAAATCTAAAACAAAGACGCCATCGACATGATGTGATAATCCTAAAGATCCGTATTCTTTCTTTTTCTTTTTCTCTTCTTTCTGTACTATCCTTCCTCCTTTTTTGACATTGGTCGCGGACCCGCTGACATCGGCACTTTGACCCACGG